TATATAAAATTACACATATAAAAATAGAAGGTGGGTGTTCTGGGCACAGATATACAGTAACTATCATGCAAATATCATTGGGTAATAAGAACATAACATGAGTTTTAACAAAACAAGGAAAGTGTATCTTTTTGACTGAGTATTGGGAGGGCCTGTCAACATTCATATCATATACCACATACACAGTACAATTCATCAGACCACTCATAAAAGCTAGAAAAATGGTGAAACTTTCTGTGGTCTGTGTTTGCGTCTATAGACATGAATATATAATTTCAGCATTTTTGTATATACTTTATGTTTTGAAAACATGATTTGAGCCCCACTCCAAATGTGGTAGTTAGCCAAATCCACAGGATCCTAGGATAAGAATGTTAGGTATCCTGAAGGGTCCAGGCTGCAAAGGAGCCCCAGAACTCCCATGTATGCAGAAAGGGATGCTTGAGGGGCTGGGTAAAAATGTGAGTGGCTCAGTGAAGGATCCGCACTGGACTTTCACTCTGCCTTGTGTTCTCTGTCCAGAACAGGAATGTGTCTCACAATGAGCTGAACACCCACAACTTTAATACATTAATATTTCCTTTACTGATTTCTTTTATGATTAAATATCAAGGGAGAAAGAAAAAAAAGTGATAATAAAGCAATCATTTCACAAAAATACCGTTTAAGTATCTTATTGTGAAAATTGCAATGACTCAAATAACAGTACAGTAATGAAAAGTTACTTAAAGAAATATCAGTATGATTGGGACTAATAGTATAAAACTACTATTAGTAGTAACAGTATTTTATAACTACAGTGATAGAATTAAAAAACCCTCTAACTTAAGTAATAGTATCATTTAGAATGTAATATATTCAATACAGTTTAGAAAACCCAAAGAAGTAAATATGAAATTCCAGAGGGAGAGAGTCTAGTAGATCTACAGGGATAGAAGAATGTTACCATCTCCATGTGCCATGGCCATTTTTGCCTTTGATTTTGCCTTTCACTCTTTCAAGAAGTATTTAGTAATTGCTCTCTGTGTGCTGACTGTATCCTCTACCCAGCTCAAGGCATTGCATTTTATAGAGTTTAATAACTCAGTAAGTTACCCTATCAGTTTAAGTGTCTACAGTTTGCAAAAGCATATTTTAAATATTTCAATGAAATGTATTTATTTATACACATAAATAAATGTGTATAAATATATAATATGTGTGCATGCTCACTGAGCACATGTGGAGATCATAAGACAAAGTGCAGAAGTTGGTTCTCACCTTTTACCATGTAGGTCCTGAGGGTTGAACTCAGATCGTCAGTTTGGTGAGAAGTTCCTTTACCTGCTAAGCCATCTCACCAGTCCAAAGGATTTTTTTTTTAATCTTGATTTTTCTATATTGGTCAGGAAATTAGATTCTTTTATATGATAGTGGTGATTTGATATTTATTTCACCAATTCAGGATAGATTTAGAATATATTTTCTATGAATATTAAATTATAGGTAAATTGATACCTGTATTCAGCATATGATTTTTTTGTTGTTGAAAACAGTTGTAGAAATTATGAAGTGATATTAAACATAAATAAAAGAATAAAAATCACTTTTGAATGTTTATAATGAAACTATGAGTTAGATTTTTGTCTAAAGCTGGCTTTCTTTGTAAATTTTACTAAATGTCACAAAAATTTGCTGTTTCATCGGGAAATGCTCAGACTATTCCATTGTGTCATGTTCATCCTGAAGGATTAGGAAGAATTAGGGTCTGGTGAAGTTATTTCTGTATGCCTTAATAGCTTTGAACAAAGTCTACAGTCTTTAGGCCAAGTTGTAATTTGCTTTTTGTTAAACATCATTTTCATCAAAAAGAACAGTTCATGGTTACCTGATGAGATTGCTTTTGCAAAACTAATCTTTAGTTTTGGTTAATAAGTAGTAAAGGTTATTAAAGGTATTTTGACATCAAAAAGGCCATAGAGGTTGACGATGAAGTTACAAGAAGACTCTTAGAACATCTGTCCTAGTTTATTTCTTCATTGCTGTGACAAAACACTCTGACCACTACC